GAAAGACTTTTTGTTGATGTTTTTGTTTCTTGTCAGTCGATCAATATAGCAAAACGACCACAACAAGATCAAAACAAAAGATAGCGAGAAAAAAAGAGAAGAAAAAAAGAGAAGAAAAAAAGAGAAAAAAAAGAGAAGAAAAAAAAGAGAAGAAAAAAAAGAGAGAAAAAAGAGAAGAAAAAGAGAAGAAAAGAGAAGAAAAAACTCACCATGCGAACACACATAGGCGTTCCCCTCCCTCGCCCACCGCAGCACCGTGGCCTCGGCGTCGGCCACGTCGACGCCGTCGAGCCAGGCCGCGCTCTCGGCCGCGTACCTGCCGGCGCGGATCTCGGCCGTCAGGCTCGACGCCCATGCCCGGGCGGCCTCGTAGGGCTTCGGCCGGCGGGCGCGGCCGCCCAGCAGCTTCTCGGCGATGCTGCTGTCCCACACGTGGTGCAGATTCAGCTCCTTGCCCTCCCAGAGCACGTGGATGCCGTTGCCGCCGCGCGCCACGTCCTCGTCGTGCAGCGGCTGGTGCACGTCGCCGGCGAAGTGCACCACGAACTTGGCCGCCTGGGCGCGCTGCCAGGCCGGCAGTGACGAGACGGCCAGGGCGCGTGCCGTGTAGTTTGCAAAGGCCTTATTTTCATGGCCGCCGTCACCCACGCCATTCGTGTGTCATATGGTAAGCAAAACGTGCGGTGTATATGCAAAATACAGAAGAACAAAAAAAAAACACAAAAAAAAAAAACACCTGCGTACAGTCACAATACACCCTTCGGCCTTGCAGTCGCGCTCCATGTCGATGCCGCACTCGGCCGGGGGCGAGTCCTTGGCGTCGATGAAGTGGAAGACGCCCGTGAAGTGCCCCCACTTTGTGTAGCGGATGCTGTCGGCCCACGTCGCCACGCCGGCCAGGTACGAGTCCGTGTCGTTGCGCAGTAGGCCCTGGAGGTACGCCTCGGTCGCCGGCCCGACAAAGTCCTGCGCGACGTACGCCACCGTGATGTGGCCCAGGCTGCCCCACGCCGCCGCCCCCGGCAGCAGCGCCGCCGCGAGTAGGCCGCCCAGCGCCGAGGTCGAGGGGAAGTGCATGGCTGTTTGCGAGGGAAGAGGGGGTTTTCGTCGGGCTGGGTCTATGGGAGCCCCCAGTATGTCTGCTCAACCTGTCACCAGCACGGGAAACAAAAAAAAGAAAGGTTCAATTACGAAGCGATGACAGGTGGTCTGGCAACGAGCACGTTTCCTGTCTTTGTCCCCGACAGTGCCGGTTCAAACGAAACACCTCACAAGACGACAAGAAATCCAATGGCTTGGTGGTTTTCAGGTTCGTCCAGCGGCGGTGTCATGTCAGCTGTAGCTGTGTGAGCACAGCTTGTTGACGGAGCAACCCCCACGACTCGATCGCCTCGCCATGCGTCCAGCTGGGCGAATGAATTGGACCGGAGCTGGCCATGTGCCAGACACACTGATGCGCTGCACGCGCCCTGCCTGGAAGCGCTCACTGCCCAATCAATTAGCCGCCCTGCCCGAGCACCCTGGGCACGACTTGATAGGTGCTATATTTTTTTTTTCTTTTTTCTTTTCTTAGGAATACTGGACCACCACCAGAGCCTGACAAAGTGGATCCCCCAAGATACTATACGTGAGAGTCGCCCCGGACGGTCTCGGTTTCAACTCTTTTCCCACTCTCCTCTTGTGCCTATATATCTGCTGCTTATCTTCCCTCTACATATACTCTCATCCCATATACCGGGAGTGCACGTAGCGCGAGGCGCAGCAGCCCAACAGGGCCGGCTCTGTAGAGGACCCGAGGCGCCCAGTCGCGTCGTCCGCCGTCATCGCCCCCTGCCCGGTTTGGCCGAACCGCTACCCCCTTTTTTTTTTCATGTGCTTCCTTGGCCCCTCAACGCGCGGATTGGAGGGCTGTTTGTCGCGCGCTAGTCGTCATGTTGATTGGTGCCGGGTTCTTTCCATGTTGATAAAGCGACATAGTATATATCGATGAGGTGTCCGGCATCATGAATGCCTCATATCGCGGCGGCGCCTCGCTGCGCGATTGTAACTTCCCCATGATAGTTACCAGGTATCTACATGTATTAGTATCGTTGGATCAATATTACTGTTTGTAGGACGTAGCGCCGTCAGCACTAAAAATTGGACAGGGAAACATGGGTTTCCAACCTCGGGAATCGTGTCCATCATTTCTCATGCACATACAATCTCAATACGTGCCTGCTTACTAGCGATAGGTAGTCCTAGGCCACAGGGCTACCATGGAGAAGGTGTCAGTTGCGTCCCAGTCGGCGTTTTGCTGTACTGTCCCTTGCTCTTTCCGAGTGCGATTGTGGCAGGAAAATGGAATCGAGTCTAGACATGGACCGCGCAGACGGAAGGCACGGGAGACGCCTAAAGCCCAATCTTTCGGGGAGCTCGCCAAGAGCCAAACCTGAACAAGATCCATCATCATAATCGGTTTCCAGCGTCGGCCCAGGAGTAACCAGCATTCCTATCGCAGCTGACCAAAGCAAAGGACGAGCATCGACAGAGCGACGAGGAGCCGAGAGAGGATCGGCAGCCCCAGGAGCCTTGGGCGGAGTCTCGACCGCAGAACCCGGACGGGCAACGGAAGGCCAGCGAGGACGGCACGGACTGCGACGACGCAGGCCACGAGGGCTCTAGCCGTAGACAGCACCGGGCCCGGCCGCTCAGCCCGGCTGACTAGCGAACCACGCTCAAGTAGGAGTACCAGATCCACAAGGAGGAGGCTAGGATCGCGAGGTGCCAAGCCAAGATTTTGGATAGTCGGGGCTTCATCTTGGAGTGCCGGGACAAGATCGAGGAAAGCCACGGCAAGATCCAGTGGTGTCAGCAAAAGGTTCGGCGATACAAGCAAAAGTCGCGCCACACCAGGAAAGGCTCGGCCGTATCAAGAGCGACAGCATGGGGAGTTTGACATGGTCCGAAGACACTAGATCTGAGCCCTTGGGCTTGGGCAGGGTGATGGATGAGATATGGCCACCTCTTCGACACTGGCTGTGGCTGCGCCTGGTTTCGGACGAGTACTTCCTCTCCAGGACCTGTCCGCTGTTCATCCGCGACGGCGAGACCAGAGGCCCGCAGCTCGCACGTGAGTTCCGGCTGGCCCAGCCCTACGACCGGCCCCGTTTTAAGGAAGACGTCCCGGCCGGCGTCAAGTTTCGCTGCGGCTACATTATCGCCTACAGGGTCGGCTGCAGAACTGCCATCACCAACAAGATGGACGACGGGCCGCTCAACGTCAACCCGAGCTTCTTCCCGCACCCGACGCCGGCGGACCTGGGGTCCCAGAAGTTGCACGTCTTGCTCGACGCCACGGACCCCGGGCGCGCGCACTGGCGCATCACCGTGCTCCAGGGCGACCCGCCGTACGACAAGCCGCCGGCCTTCTTGTCGGACGAGCTCGTGGTGAAGTTGCCGTCGGGCAAGGGCAGCGTGAGGCACGCCGGGGGGACCCCGCCGCCCGAGGAGCCTCTGGCGCAGACGAGCTACCTGTCGCTCGACATGATGAGCATGATTGATTCGATGATGGTGTGGGCCGCGCGCCCCTCCACGGGGGCCATGGCGCTGCTCACGGGGGAGAGCGGCGAGCTGAACCACGCGTCCTGGGAGGTCCAGGGGTTCCTGGTGTGCTACTTGACGGCCCACATCCGGGAAGTCGGCAGGGCCACCTTCAGGGTGCGGCGGCGGCGCGAGATGGGATACGACCAGGAATACGTCATTCTCCCGCACTGGCAGCCGCCGCCGCCGCCGCCCGTGCCCACCGCGCGCCCATTGAACCCATTCTCGGCAGCCCAGGTGTTTCAGTGTTTCAAGCGCGACCAGGAGGCCATCTACATCCCCTTCTTTCAGCTCTACGACCATATGCTGTAGGAGAAGCTTCGGTCAGTAGGTGATCCGAGGGCCACGCCGCAGCCGGTGATGGTGATGCCTGGGATGCCGGCGCCGCAGATGCCTGGGGTGCCGGCGCCGCAGATGCCTAGAATGCCGCCGCCGCAGATGCCTGGGATGCCGGCGCCGCAGATGCCTGGGATGCTGCCGCAGCCGAGGCCTAGAATGCCGCCGCCGCAGATGCCTGGGGTGCCGCCGCCGCCGACGCCTGGGGTGCCGCCACCGCCGACGCCTGGAGTACCGCCACCGCCGACGCCTAGAGTACCGCCACCGCCGACGCCTAGAGTACCGCCGCCGCCGACGCCTAAGATGCCGATACCTAGGATGCCGTCGCCGCCGACGCCTGAAATAGGTCCAGGCAGCGCGATCGGTATCCAGATCAACAGCAACGCGGCAAAGGGGCGAAAGAGAGGACGCAAGCAAGGCAAAAGTGACCCGGGTGGGGGTGCATGAGCGAGCGAGCGCTGGGGCACGGGTAGTAGACATATGAAGATGTGTAGGAAGTACAGCCGACGGAGTATACTAGATAGGTAGGAAGCTAATACGGTAGCGATAAGGGAACTTTAGTGGGATGGCAAGCGTATAGCTGTGGCAAGATGCGCGGCTCTACCTAGGTAGAGATAGACCTGTATGGCGGTAGCGGAACAATAGTGGAGGGCTTGGATAGAAAGTGGTCATGTTTTTGGGGGCCGTTGACGTGCCAGGCATCCATCACTTTTGTGCTAGCCAGCAAGACTAGAAATAGGAATGAAAGCCAGAGCTGGAAAAAGAGTAAATACAGGAGTAGGAATACAAGGTACGCAGCAGTACTCGCTAATTAAACGCTACAAATCCGTACCCTTATAATCACAGCGGCAAATAAGGGGTCGGCACTTTGACGGCACTTGAAGGGGTGAGATACAACCAATATTCCTGAGCGGATCGCAGGCGGAGGAGGGTGAGAGCCAAAGTGACACTGGGAACATTTCGGCACACGACGAGCAGAGTGCATGTGACTTTGGATAGCAGCTAGCTCGAGAGGTGCTGGAGCTGCCTAGGTAGAATCGACGAGACTAGGTATATGGATACTGACCGGTACCCTCTTCCAAAAACAGATTAAACCACCGAAATACAGCGTGCCGCAAGTCATATAGGGGAGAGGAACAATTTACCCCATGCCTAGGGATATAGAAACGTGCAGCGCTGGACATGTTTCCGGAAACTCCGTGTCCACGGACCTCGGAAAAGCAAGGCGCCGTCACTCGGCCCGTCGCGGCGAGTGGTGGTTGCGGCCGCAAAAGTTCTTGTTGCCGTCGACGTTGTGGTAGCCGTAGCTGCCGACGTGATACTCGCTCGTGACGGGGTTGCCATATTGCGCAACCTGCGGAGCAGTCCCAATGGAATCATTGTCAGCGATCAAGAAACGTGTCTGAGATCAAAAAAAAAAACGACAGAGAGAGAGAGAGAGAGAGAGAGAGAGAGAGAGAGAGAGAGAGAGAGAGAGAGAGAGAGAGAGAGAGAGAGAGACGA